AAGGGTACTCCTGGTGGGCGGCAGCATGAGCGTGGGCCCGCTCAGCCCAGGTACCCGCCGGCGACTCCTCCAGGGCCAGCCGGGCCCCCTCCCAGCACCGCTGTCCAGTGGCGTGGCCATCTTCATCAGCTCCACAGTCTCGGGTAAGGTGGGCCAAGGGTTGGAACCTTGGAAGCAAGCAGGCTCATCCAGGGAGCCAGGCATGGACCAGGGGGGCTCTGGGAGACTGGAAGTGAGTGCATTTCAGCTAGTGACCCATGCAGGACATGGTATGGTAGAGCCTTCTGGAACTTCCATTTCCTCCTAGAATATGCCAGGCTGAGTGCAAACTCTATAGAGGTACTGGCTCTGCTAAATGATATTACATTTATGATGAACACACTGCATCACAGACATCAAATACATCTCCCCAACTTTATATTCTGTAATCCTCCCTCTTACCCACTCGCTGTGGCCACACCAGCTTCTGGCAGGTTCTGAAATCCATGAAGCCCCCTAACCCCACTCAAGACCCTCTCTTCTCCTTCTTCTCCCCATCCTCTGAGGCTTCCTCAGGGAGCCCTGGCCTGCTCTGCCCCCCAATATAAAGTTGTCCTGAAGCACAGCATATGTTAAGTGTCATCAAGTTGGTTGTGACTTATAGCGACCCTGGAATAGTTTCTGCGGAGCAGCTGGTGGGTTTGAGCCACTGACCTTGTGGTTTGCAGTCCAGTGCTGATCCTACAGCGCCACACCTAAGGAGTCCACAGCCCATATAGGAGTCTTTAAAAATTTTCTTTTGTGTGGCAAAAGTATCTGTAAAAACATGTGCTAATTCAACACTTTTTGTGTCCAATTCAGTGACATTGTTTACATTCTTCATGTGTGCAACTACGAGTGATATACATCTCCAAATGATTCTGCCAACATTCATCAGAACTCAATGCCCCTCAATTAAAACTCCCCTCTCACTCCACTCTTACTTCTAGCACCCACTAAGAATCACTACCTGTGGTTCCAGGGGAGAAAGATGAGACTTTCTGCTCCCGTTAAGATTTACATCCTTGGAAACCCTATACAGGGTGGCTGTGAGTCGGAACCTACTTGACGGCCCACAACAACAACACATATGCTAAGATAATTATAGCTTATGGAAAGTGCTGTCTCTGTCCTATACATTTGCCTATTTCATATGAAAGCATACAGCATTTATCCTTTTGTGTTAAACTTCTTCCACTCAGCATGATGTTTTCATGGTTCATTCATGTTGTAGCCTGTATCAATGTTTTGTTCCTTTTTTAAGGCTGAATAATATTCTGTTCTGTGAATGCACCATTTTCTCTATTTATCTGCTGGTGGATACTTGGGTTGTTTCTATCTTTTGACTGTTGTGAATAATGTTGCTGTGAATATTGGCATCCAAGCTGCCCATCCAAGATTCTCTGGCAGCACTTTCCATAAGCTATAATTATCTTAGCATATGTGTTGTTGTTATGGGCCGTCAAGTAGGTTCCGACTCCCAGCCACCCTGTATAGGGTTTCTGAGGCTATAAATCTTAACGGGAACAGAAAGCCTCATCTTTCTCCCCTGGAACCACTGGTCATTTCGAACTGCCGACCTTGAGATTAGCAGCCTGATTCATAACCACTACGCTACCAGAGCTCCTTTATATATTTATATTGTTATGTTATTTTTAATAACAACCGTATCAACCATTGACTCATAGAATTTCTGGAAATTTGACAATCGGTCACCTTGAGTCAGGACAGGACAGTGCTAACAGGCAATGCCATCGACCTAGGTCCTATTTGCTGTTGTGCCCTATTGCTCAGTAAGGTCCTAAGCACAGAGTAACTGAATGATGAAGGTCTGCAGGAACATGTAAGGAGCCTGAATGTTTATGAGACAGGCATGCTCACACCACATTCTGAAGGAGGAAACAAAGCTGAGGAAGGGATGGACGATAGAGGAGGCAGAGCCAGGACTGGTGTCCAGGTCGACCCCCATGCCAGAGAGGGTGGTGCCCCTGCACTGGTAGCTTTGGGAGCTCTGACACTTTGTGCCATGGATATTGACATGAACTCCCACTGGCCATGTGGAGAAAACAGGTGCTCCTTCAACACCTACAATGCACCAGGTGCTTAGACTGGGAATAGTCAATGACTCAGAATCCCTGGCCAGCACAAATGGTGAAGCATTTGATGATTAGCTGAAAAGTTGGTACCTTGGAAGAAAGGTCTGGTGATCTGCATCTGAAAAGTCAAAGCATTGAAATCCCTATAGAGGGGGAATCTCACTACCATGGGAAAGAAGAGCCAAGAATGAAGTGCATCCTTCGGACCTTGAGCTCCTTGCATGTTGAACCTGCTCTACCCAGGACCCAGAGAGCTGCGATACCAGCCGAGTGGCAGAGGAACAGCAGAGGAGAAAGGAGAGCTTCCCAGCCCACAGAGCCAATGAAGCTGAATGCCTTCAGGCAGAGCACTGGCTTTTAGAGTGGGCTGTCAGATTTGTTGATCCACAGAACTAAAGCAGATCACCTTATGCTGAGGCTGATTTAAGGATGAGTGGAGTGTCTTTTGAATATTTATGATGTCAAAAGAGCTTGGTAACATTGCCTGAGAATATGTCAGGCTGAGTCCAAACTCTAGGCAGAGGCCACGGGGCCACTGTGGCTGAGAGGCAGAGGACCAGAGACAGAGACACGCCTGCAGGCATGGCAAGAGAAGAGGTCCTCTAGACTGAAGAACTGTATTCTGAGCATTTTGGATCCTGAGCTGTAACCTGTTAACTTTCCTAATAAACGCCATAATCCTGAGGGAGAGAAGAAGAAGGAAAACCCTGTGAGTGACGTTCTACTCTGCACACATGGGATTAGCATTCATTGGAACGGACTCACGGCAACGAATTAGCAACCAACAGCGTTCAAGGATTCAACCAGCTCTCACTGACAGCCGGGACTGGATAAGCAGAGATGCTTGACTTTGGAAGAGTCCGGGCATAGTCCCCGTTTTGCAGACGGGGGACACCGAGACTAGCCTGCCACTTGCCACGCTCAGTGGAATGAGAGATAGAGGGTCTTGGAATCCAGATAACTTTGGGGAAGGCTGCCAGAGTTAGCCAAAATATAGCCAATAAAAGCCAAGCAAACACTAAAACTTCCCACAAGACCAAGGCAGTGAGTTAAAATTGCACTTTGGTTAAAAAACAAATCTTTTTTTTTTCAATGTTTTATTGTGAATTATGTGATCGTTTACATGGGAGAACATTAGTTTTACATTCATCCTATTGTATATCATTTCATTGCCATGGTTAGAAGCCCCTCCATGCATCATCAACCAACCAAAGGGTATACCCTACAAGCCTGCCCCAAGGTCGTGAGCACACAGCCCCACTCCCTCTCTGGGTCTTAAGTCCCCAACTGCTCCATCTCTCCACGTCACATTTATTTCTGCTCTAATCTTTGTTATTTCTTTTCTTTTGGTGGCTGTGGGTTCCCTCTGTTGGTCTGTTTCTAATTGTTGTAGATGCCGTGTTAATGTGTTAATTTTGGTTCTTTCTTCTTTTTGGATGTGTGTGTTTATTGCAATAAATTGTCCTTTCAGCATCGCTTTCACCGTGTCCCAAAGATTTTGGTATGCTGTGTTTTCGTTCTCATTTAAAACAAATCATTTTTATTATCAATATATATCACAAATATTGCATGGGGTGGGGCATAATATATGCTAAAAAGTATTACTGGTTATCTGAAATGTGAATTTACCAGAAATGTAAACTTATCCAAACATTACCTGGGTTGGAACATGCTTATGTTAAATTTTTTTTATCTGAAATGTAAATTTAGCTAGGGTTAGCTGAAATGAAAACTTACCCAAACGAATAAACTGTTTCTTGGAAATGCGAATGCATCAAATTATTGTATGGAAAGAGATGCTATTGTTGTTGTTGTTAGGTGTCATCAAGTCAGTGCTGACTCATAGCAACTCTATAGACAACAGAATGAAACACTGCCCAGTCCTGTGTCAGCCTCACAATCGTTGCCACATACGCTTGAGCCCATTGCTGCTGCCACTGTGCCAATCCATCTTGTTGGAGGTCTTCCTCTTTTTCTCCCATCCTTCACTCTACCAAGCATGGTGTCCTTCTCCAGGGACTGGTCCCCCTGGTAATATGTCCGAAGTATGGGAGATGAAGTCTGGCCGTGCTAGTTTCTAAGGAGTACTCTGGCTATACTTCTTCTAACACAGATTTGTTTGTTCTTTTGGCAGTCCATGGTACTTTTAACAGTCTCCTCCAACACCGTAACTCAAATGCATCAATTCTACTGCCTTCTTTAAGGAAAGACATAGGTTTAGGTTAAAAATTACTGTTGATGTGATATGTAAATGTGACTGGGCACAATGGATTTTATCTGGCAGCCCTAACCTAGAGTGACCCACCACCCTGGTTGTCTCAGGACCAAAGATTTTCCTGGGATTTTTCAGGTGAACACTGGGAAGTCTTGGGCAAACCAGGACAGTTGGTCTCCCTGGGTTTATCCCATGCTCTCTGTGTTTTTGTATTAGTTGTGGAGGCCCAGACTGGGCGGAGCTGGGGGTGCTGGTGGCTATGTGCCATGGAGTCGGTTCCGACTCATAGTGACCCTGTACAGGATTTCCAAGGCTGTAAATCTTTATGGGAGCAGGAAGTCTCACCTTTCTCTCGCAGAACAGCTGGTAGTTTCGTACTGCTGACCGTGAGATTAGTAGCCCAACTCGTAACCACTATGCTACCAAAGCTCTTATGCAGACCTTGTTGTTGTTGTGAAGTGCCATCGAGTCGATCTTGACCCATAGCGACCCTGTAGAGTTTCTGAGGAGCGGCTGCTGAGCTTGAACTGCCGACCTTGCAGTTCAAATGGCTTTGCAGTCTGGTGCATTAACCCACAGCGCCACACCAGAAGAGGCTAAAAACAGAGTCACCAGCAGCGACAAGTTCTGGGTTCTTCCAACTAATAGCGTTTGTGCCATTCCTTGCAGATATGGACGCAGAAAGGGAAGCCCTACAGAACTCCGCCTACCCCGAAGTGCAAACCTTCTGCCGGAAGCATGGCCTGATGTTTGAGGTAAGCGCCTGCCCGCTTCTCCCTGTCTCAGTTTCCCCTGCCTTAAAATGCAAGCAAGGAGTCTTAACAGTGCAATGGTTAAATGCTCAGCAGCCGATGGAAAGGCCGATGGTACCAACCCACCTGCTGGTTGTATAGAAGGACCTGCTTTCCTAAGGATCAGAGCCAGAAAAACCCTATGAAGCCGTTCTGCTCTGTCCTATGGGCTGACTGTGAATCAAAACCAACACCAACAACAGTGAAATGCAAGCAGGAATGCAGTAGACAGGACCAGTCTCATGGACCTATGGCGCCCTCGCTAAGTTTAATGCTCTGCTCTCTCCTTGAAGTTTGTGATGATGTATTTTACTTTTACACTTGCTGTTGTCTGCCATTGAGTTATCCCCTGCCTTGTGGGGACGCCTTGCACAATGGTTTTGCACCATCCCCATAATCTGTAGTGAACATATTAAACTGTTCAATATAAATTACTAAGTAAACCTTTGCTTACTGGGTATTCTATTCCTATCAGGGATTGTCAATTTGAATTGACAATCTTGGCTCTGAACGAAGGTACAGGGGAGAGAGACAGATGCCCACCAGACCTAGAAGTAGAATCTTTGATGTTGTGAAAACATGTGAAATTGTTTATTACAAATTAGTTAGTGAGGACAAGCAAGTCCAAGCTTACTTGGCTTATTGGGTAATCCAACACTAGTAGTTCCCTGTGATATCACCTCTATTTGTGACGTTGCTGTTACAATTCTGCTGTAACAAAAATATCACAAATGGATGCCTTAAAGAGGCCGTTTTAAGTGCCATCGAGTTGGTTCAGACTCATAGTGACCCTGTATAGGGTTTCCGAGGAGCAGCTGGTGAATTTGAACCACCAACCTTGCGGTTTAACCTGACCTTGCAGTCCAGTGTGTTATCCTGCAACACCACACCAAGCCTCCTTTAAAGAGGCTAGAAGTCTGAATTCAAGGGGAGGTCCTTTCTTATATATTTCAGCTTACAGTAGCCAGCAATCCTTGGCATTCTTAGGTTTGTAGATGCATCTGCCTCTTGTGTCATTAGACACTGTGTCTGCATCTGTCTCTAATTTACTCTTAAAACTCAGAGTCTATTAGGTTTAGGACTCACCCTACACTTACGTCGTTGTTGTTAGGTGCCGTCTAGTCAGTACTAGTTCACAGCAACCTTATGCACAACGGAAGGAAACACGGCCTGGTCTTGTGCCAACCTCACTATCATTACTAAGCTTGGACCCATTGCCACTGCTTCTGTGCCAATCCATCTTGTTAGGAGTTCTCTTTTTCACTGACCCTCCACTTTACCAAGCCTAATATCTTTCTTCAGGGACCGATCCCTGCTGATAACATGTCCAAAGTATAAGAGATGAAGTCTGGCTATCCTGTCTTCTAAGGAGCATTCTGGCTTCATCTGACACAGATTTGGTTGTATTTTGATATTTCTATTTTAATATTTTAATATTCTCCTCCAACATCATAACTTAAATGCATCAATTCTTCTACGGTCTTCCTTATTCATTGTCCAACTTTCACATGCATATGAGGTTATTGAAAATACCATGGTTTGGGTCAAGCGGCCCTTAGTCCTCAACCTGACATCTTTTCTCTTCAACACTTTAAAGCAATCTTGTACAGCAGATTTGCCTAATGTAATTTGTTGTTTGATTTCTTGACTGCTGCTTCCATGAATGCTGATGGTTTATTCAAGCAATATGAAGCCTTTGACAACTTCAATCTTGTCTCCATTTATCTTGATGTTAAATATTGGTCCAGTGGTGAGGATTTTTGTGTTCTTTACTAGCAAGTTTGTATCATCTGCATATCGCAGATTGTTAATAAGTCTTCCTCCAGTCCTGAAGCCATGTTCTTCATATAATTCAGCTTCTCAGATTGTGTGCTCAGCACACAGAATGAATAAATACGGTGAAAGAATACAATCCTAGCACAACCCTTTTCTAATTTTAAACAATTTGATACTTTCTTGTTCTATTCGAACCTTTGCCTCTTGGTCTAAGTATAGATTCCTCATGAGTACAATTAAGTGTTCCTGAATACTTATTCTCCACAGTGTTATCCATAGCTTGTCATGATCCATATAATTGAAAGCTTTTTCGGTCAATAAAGTATAGGCAAACATCTTTCTGGTATTCAGCCAAGATTCATCTGATCTATAGCATAGTGGTTACGAATCGGGCTGTGAACTGCAAGGCCAGCAGTTCGAAAATACCAGCTGTTCCATGGGAGAAAGATGAGGCTTTCTGCTCCCGTAAAGATTTACAGCCTCAGAAACCCTGTACAGAGTCGCTATGAGTCGGAACCAACTCCAGGGCACATACCAACAACACTTATAAGGATTCCTTAACATAACAAAGGAGCTCTGGTAGCGTAGTGGTTACGAATCGGGCTGCGAACCTTAAGGTCAGCGGTTCGAAACTACCAGCTGCTCCGCGGGAGAAAGATGAGGCTTTCTACTCCCGTAAGGATTTACAGCCTCAGAAACCCTGTACAGGGTCGCTATGGGTCGGAACCGACTCGACGGCACTCAACAACAACAACATAACGAAGAAAGCCCTATTCCAGAACAGGATTACATTCTCAGTTAGGAGGCCAGGATTCCAACACCTATTTTGAGAATACAATTAAATCCATAACAATGACTAAGAAACTAGTCATGCTAGAAATTCACCTCCACCCTGACTCTTGCTGTTAGCTGCTGTCCAGTTGATTCCAACCCATGACACCCCCCAGCACAAACGGAGCAGCATGTTGCCCAGTCTCATGACATGCCCATGATTAGTTGTGGATGGGACAGTTGTGACCCATGGCGTTGTCCCTGACTAATTTTTGGTAATCAATCACCAGGCCTTTCTTCCTAGTCTGAAAGTTCTATGAAGCCTGTTCAACATGGATAACCTTGCTGGTATTTGAAATACCTGTGGAATAGCTTCCAGCATCATAGCAGCACCCAAGTTCACACACTGACAGATGGGTGGTGGCCTTGATCAAGAGACAACTCAACACTGTTGTTATTGTTAAGTGCTGTCGAGTCAGTTCTGAGTCATTGTGACCCTGTATCAGGTTTCTGAGCAGTGGCTGCTGAGTTTGAACTGTCGACACTGCGGTTCAAATGACCTTGCTATCCAGTGCTGTCAAATTGACCCTGACTCATGGAAATGCCATGTTTCCTTTTTAGAGACCCTAAAAAAACCCCAAAAAACCTCCCTGGGTGATGAAAATGGTTAAGTGCTTGGCTACTAATGAAGGGTTGGTGTTTGGAACCCACCCTGAGGCACCATAGAACAAAGACCTGGCAATCTGCTTCTACAAAGATCACAGCCAAGAAAAGTCTATGAGGCACAGTTCTGCTCTTACACACAAGGAGTTGCTCTGAGTCAGAGCCAATCCGATAGCAGTTTTTTTTCTTCTTTTTTTTTTAAGGGATAATATGATCCCAGAGAACTGATAAAATCCCTGCCACATTCTTTCATGTTCACACAGACACTATGAGGCAGCGGATATTAAACATCCTCATTGTGTAGATGGGGAGGCTAAGGCTCTTGCCTGAGGTGGGGTCCTGACTCTTCCTCCTTCTCAGAAGTGGTTTTTCCTTTCTTCCTCCAGCCACATGCAGTACTATTACCCTTTTGTCCCATATGTAGTTCGGATTGCATATGTCTTTCTCTCTGGGTTGAAGAATTTAAGGAGGCAAGGACCTTTCTGAGTCCTCTTTGCCACCCTTTCATTCCAACATTCCATGGGGTCAGCTGAGGTTTCTTGAATCAAGTCATTCTGCCCAGTCCTCTCTCCAGCCAGCAGGGAAAAATGAACTTCAAGCATGCGGTTGTCAAAGAAACGTTGTTCAGTCCGTTCTCAGCCAAACGAAACACTCCTCTTTACAAAAACGGCTCTGGGAACAAGTGTGGACATGTCCTTATTGAACAAGAACAGTTTTGAAAACAGTCAGTTCTTTAAGAAACATTCAGCATTTTGGTTTTGGATCACCTTTTTATTTGGGGATCATTTTGGATTTATAGAAAAGTTGTACAGATGGTACAAAAAGTCTCCATATACCTAACACCCAGCTTCATCTAATGTGACTACCTTAGAGAACCACAGTACCTTGATGGTGATTAAAAAATGAAGCCACTCACATTGGTACCTTCTATTTGGAGTCCCTGGGTGGCCCAAATGGTCATGTCTTCAACTACTAGTCAAAAGGTTGGTGGTTCAAATCTACTGTGAGGTGCCTTGAAAGAAAGGTCTGGCGATCTGCTTCCGAAAGACCACAGGCATGCAAACCATTTTGGGCACACCACTCTGGTGACATGGGGCCATCATGAATCAGGGTCAACTTGATAGCAACTAACCAACAACATTACTATTATTTAAATGTTTTTCCAGGGGGTTGTAAAATGATAGTAACAGTAGGGTTAGACTGATCTAAGTTTATGGGAATAAGGCAAATCAAGATTGTTGTTGTTAAGTGCCATTGAGTCACTTCTGTCTCATAGTGACCCTGTATAGGGTTTACAAGGAGCAGCTGGTGGGTTTGAACCATCAACCTTGTAGTTAGCAGCCCAGTGCTTATCCTCCAGCACCACACCAGGACTCCAAGTGAAGATTGTTGTTGTTGTTAAGTGCCGTTGAGTCGGTTCTGACCCATAGTGACCCTGTATAGGGTTTCCGAGGAGCACCGGGTGAGCTTAAACTGAGGATCTTGCGGTTCAAATCGACTTTGCAGTCCAGTGCATTAACCAGCAGCACCACACCAGGACTCTTCGTCCACAGTTAATTCATCACGAGGAGGTCAGACATACCTTTACTCTCCACCCCTTTTACCAAGTCTGACAGCAGCCATCCCTCCCACGCCTTCTGTATTTCTCTGCTGGGTTTGCTAATTCACTGCAACAGTTACACAGAACTCACTGTTAAGTGATTTACTAAGAAAACAACTGGGTCCAACTCACGATCAGGAAGATATAGGCAAGGTACGGAAGACTCCCCACAAAAAGGAGAGCACAGCCCACGCTCTTCTTTAACATAGGACAACCTTCTGCTGCACAAGCAAATCTTTCTCTCCATCCTGCACACCCCATCTTGGCTGTTCAGGTCTCCTCACAGCCCCCTCAGGACAGGCTCTTCTCAGCATTGCCTTCTGTCACCACTGAAGCTGCAGCAGAATTCCTTCCAGACCTGTCACTGTTTTCAAGGTTACCTACAGCCCAGGACCTGTGTTACATGCTCCTGGCCTTTCTCTTTGCTTCTTCTCTCTTCTCTTTTCCTTTTTTACCCTCCTGCTTCTGTCTTCTTCTTGTCTGAAAAATCTTTTGTGGGGTTGATTGCGTACACACACACACACACACAATAAAAAAAACAAAAAACCCCTCTTTGTCAGTTTCAAAACATGGCCCTCCCACCAGGCCTAGGAAATGGCCAATCCCCCTTGGGTAGGCCACAGATACTTCATTAACATAGTAGTCCATAGTAACTTTATTTGTATGGACTATTGTCACTCCATTTGTGTAGTCTGTTGAACCATCCTTGCCAAGCGCATATCAATAACAAAACAGGCAACAATCCATGGTCAGATAAAAAGTATCAAACCACAAATTGTTTGCAAGTTAACTCAAAAAATGCTAACCAACTTGGACAAACGTAACAAACCATCTGGGGAAGAAAACTAGGGCAAAGGTAGCTCCTCAGGATTCTGGAGCGGGTGGAAGTGGGGGATTCTCTCAAACTGTGTTCCAAAGAACCAAGGCAAAGGATTATAAAAAGGAATTCATTTTACCTCAGCAGGAAAGTGGGGGTGAATTACTCTTAAGTAAACTCGAAATTTTATTCAGGATCCTGGTGTGGCACTGTAGGATCAGCATTGGACTGTGAACCACAAGTTCTGCAGTTCAAAACCCACCAGCTGCTCCTTGGAACAGACTTGACAGCTCTTAACAGTAACAACAAACTTTAGTTATATTTCACCGGTTTTCTATGCTTACTTTCTTTTGTTTCCAGAATCCCACGCAGGCACCCCACTGTATTTAGCTGTTCTTTCTCCCCAGTTTCCTCCCATCTGTGATGGTTCCTGAGTCTTTTCATATGGGTCATATCTTGGTCATTATGAGGACGAGGCTCCAGAGATCTTGAAGAAGGACCTCCCATCTGGGTCTATCTAATACTTTTCTCAAGACGACACTGGAGTTATGAGTTTTGTTCAAGTTCTTTCAATCCAGTTAGCCCTCTTTTGGGAAAGGTCACAAGGAATTGAAACAAACTTTATATTTTTGTCAAAGTGAATTGGAAAAAAAATCAGTCATTGTCCCACCTCCCTGACAAACTCACGGTTTGTAATCCTCAGGTCATTGATCTGAGGTGGGGAATTAGAAACACTGAGGCCACTGACCATATGACTGCAGAACTCTGCTTGGAGGAGATTGACCGGTGTCAGAAAACATCAGTTGGACCTACTTTTGTGGTGAGTCTCATGGGAGGGGTGGATTACTTTCTTCTCATTTCCATCACCAATGAGCCAGTAAGGGAGAGGGGTGGCATTTCTACTATTCTACCCTGTCTTCATAGCCTGACTCTGGCAGACATCAATAATTGATCCCAGCACTCTTTTCCAGCAGAGCTGGGCGGGGTCCTCTCGTTAGCAGCCCATTGGAGGTAGGATGTGAACTGGACAGGAAAGCTGGAAGGGATCTTATGTTTTGAACTGGACCTTTTCCCACTTCCTCTGCCCATTCAATTTGGGATCCTAGAAAGCCCTAGAAAAGGTGGAAGCCCACAGCATCTTGGAGATTTCCCCCATATGAACCTACTGGTGTCACTAGAAGGCTCTGTTCCTGTATGGAACCTGCTTCGGGGATACACTTTTTTTGGGTCCTTTGTTGTTGTTGTGGGTACCACCTACTTGTTTTCAGCTAATAGCAACCACTTGTGACAGCAGAACTGCCCCATAGGGTTTCCTTGCCTCGGATCTAGTTAGAAACATATTCCCAGGTCTTTCTTCCATGGAGCTGCTAGGTAGGTTTGAACTGGTAACCTTTCAGTTAGATGTCAAATACTTAACCATTTGCATTACCAGGGCTCCATCCCTCTCCTAGATGAGGCCAGTTTTGCTGTGCTACAGAGTCTTCTTTCTTCCCCTCCCAACTCTACTCACTCTGTCCCCCAAACAATCCACACCCCGCAATGAACAGTTTGTGCTTTATTGGCTAGTGATATTCTAGATTCTGGATTTATGGCAACACCTAGTTCCTGAGACATCCAGGAATTATGACATTTTAACTCATAAACCCTAGAGCAGTGGTCAGTGAACCACAGCCCTTGGGACAAACCCAACCCCTGCTTATTTTGACACTAAAGCTTTATTGGTACACAGCCACATTCAGCCATGCACACATTTTCTATTATTGCTTTCATACTATCGCACCAGGGCTGAATAGTTGGGACAGAAACTGGACCACAAGGCTGAAAATATTTACTATCTGGCCTTTTACAGAAAAAGTTTGATGACCTTTGTCCTAGAGTGTGTTGTTTTTGTTATTGTTGTGTGCCATTGAGTTGATTTTGACTCACAGTGACTTTGTGTGACAGAATAGAACTGGGGCTTGTTTCTAGGTTATAGTCCTTATGGGAGTAGATAACCAGGTCTTTCTTCCATGGTGCTGTTGTTGTTGTTATTGTTATGTGCTGTGGAGTTGGTTCCGACTCATAGCGACCCTGTACAGGGTTTCTGAGGCGGTAAATCTTTACGGGAGCAGAATGCCTCATCTTTCTCCCTTGGAACAGCTGGTCGTTTGGAACTGTAGGTTAGGTTTAAACTGCCAGCTTTTCAGTTTGCAGCCAAGTTCTTAACCGGTGAGCCACCAGTTCCTAGACCTAGAGTATTATTAAGTGCAGCCGAGTCAATTCTGACCCATAGTGTCCCTGTACAGGGCTTCCAAGGAGTGGTTGGTGGGTTTGAACCACTCACCTGCTGGTAAGCAGTCTGGTGCTTAGTCTACAGCACCACGGCAGTCTGAGAGGATAAAGAAGGGAAAATTAAGAAGGTATCTTTGACTAACACTCCTTCATCACAACAACAAACAAAACAAAAAATCCTCTGAAACCTCTCTGTGATCTATGGTAGAATGTAGGGGAGGGCATTCACTGTCATCAAAGCTGCTTGGTTTTGGGAACATGCTATCCAATATGGTAGCCATCAACCACACATGGGTATTGAAATTTAAATTCGTTAAAACGAAATGAAAAATTCAGCTCCTCAGGCGTACTAGCCACATCTCACCAGTTCAGTAGCCACATGGGGCTTAGGGCCACTGTATTGGAACACTTCCAGCATTGTAGAAAGTTCCACTGAGTGGCACTGCCTTCGGTTGCTGTCAAGTCATGACCTCTTGTATGTCAGAGTAGAACTGTGCTCCATAGGATCTTCAGTGGCTGATTTTTTGGAAGTAGATTGCCAGGACTTTCTTCCATGGTGCCTCGGGATGGACTCAAACCTCCAACCTTTTGGCCAGCAGTTGAATTGTTAACCATTTGCATCAGCCAGGGGCTCTATTTTAGAGATTCCAAACCTATTGCAGTCAAGTCAATTCGGACTCATAGAAACCCTATGGGATGGGGTAGAATTGGTCCGTGGGGTCTCCAAGGCTGGAATTGTTATAGAAGCTGACTGCTACACCATTCTCCTGTGGATTCGCTGCTAGGCTTGAACCACTGACTTTCTGGTTCGCAACCAAACACCTACCCACTGCCCCACCATGGCTCCTTGCTTTAGAGATTAAAAAACCAAACCACACTCACAGTTTATTCTGGCTCATAACAACCCTCTACGATAGAGTAGAACTGTTATATTGAGTTTCCAAGGCTGTAAATCTTTGTGGGAGTAGACAACCTCATCTTTCTCCCCCAGAGCCGCTGGTGGGTTAAAACTGCTGACATGGTGGTTAGCAGTCCAACACATTAGGCCTCCAAAAAGGAAATTAAGGTTCTTATATGGAGCAAATGTTTTGTGCTTGGTGAACCCACTCAACAGCACCACGGTAGAAAGGCCTGGTGATCTGCTTCTGCAAAGATGACAGCCAAGAAGACTGTGGGACAGTTCTACTCTGTAACACATGGGGTTGCCATGAGTCAGACTGCATTAGATGGCAGTAGCTCTTACAGAAATTAAGACACAGGGAAAAGTGATAAGAAACTGTTTATTATGTATCATTTTACATGTATAATAGGAGGCTGTGAGAATTTTTTGGCTCTTTATTTCTCTCTGCATGTCAGTGACATTCGGTTTTCACTACCATTGCTTTCAAATATATTCTAATGTTTGGAAGATTCTACCCCTACTTTTAAGGAGCCCTGGTAGCGTAGTGGTTACGAATCGGGCTGCAAACTGCAAGGTCAGCAGTTCGAAACTACCAGCTGCTCTGTGAAAGAAAGATGAGGCTTTCTGCACCCATAAAGATTTACAGCGTCAGAAACCCTGTTCAGGGTCACTATATGTCGGAACCGACTCGACGGCACTTAACAATAATCCCTACTTTTGTATCTCCTTCCCAATTATTTTCCAGTCTTCCAATTTAATTTTCCAAATGAGTCTGATGATCATTTTGTTGAATTTCAAATACAAAAAGGAAATTTTTTCTTTAGGGGTAAAAAAATGGTGTGAGAGAAAGAGAGGGGAGAAGACTAACTCCAGAGGAATTAGATTTTGCAACCCAAATGCAGGGCAGCGAAAAGCACAGTGTGCCTTCCAGGTCACATGGGGGCTGGAGAAGGATTTCCACGCTTCCCCCAGGCACGGTCAGCCCGAGCGGAGCGCCTGAATGTCATTCTAAAATGTCTACTTGAGCGAATCCCCCATGATGAACAACTCTCTCCACTTCCTGCTTTTCTCCTGAACCCAGTCTTTTACCCCCATGGCCCAAGAGTCACAACATTATTTTCGGTCAGTAGTTCAGTTTGGGAGGACTTTTCACCCAAACCTGAGTGAGCTGGATGCCTTGGAGAGGCCACTTTTGGGTAAATAAGTCATTAGACAGTGTGGCAGGAGACAGGTCCCCATGGCACCTCCTTTTAGAGACTCTGGTCTCTTGGGCAACCAGCACTCCTGCATCTCCAGAGCCCCAGAGAGCTGCTTCTGAGGGTTCCTTGGTCCCCCTCTTGTTATCTCTTCCTGTTTCCCATGCCTGGATTCTTCAGACAAGAGTGCTTTGTAATCAGACTGCTGTGTGGTTGGCTGGCTACCCTCGTCCAATTTCTTCTCTTCCTCTGGAGGCTGTCCCCCTGGCAGCAGTATCTTCTTCAACATTCCCATCCTCACAGACTCCATTTATCCAGATTTCCCAGTGTTTGCTCTTGGAATGTACTGAAACAAGGAGGGAGGCTGCCAGCTTCCATCTTATAATGAGCCAAGTCTAAACTTTAGCCATGGCCAGACATCCTGGGCTTTACTCTCTTGTGTTCCACTTTGGACACTTTCTGAGTATGTAGGGGCAGAAATAGGGACTTCCTCAGATCTCTGGGGGCCATAAACAGTTTGCACTTGACTCCTAACTCACCCAAGGTTCCGTGGAAGAAAGACTTGGTGACCTGCTTCTGTAATAATTACAACCAAGAGAACCCTCTGGAGCACGGTAACTCAGTAACACATGGGTCACCAGGAGTTGAAATTGACTTGATGGAAATAGGTTGGGTCTTTTTTTGCAGTGCTCTTATCATAAGACTAAACTCTTTTAATATTTTCACAGTCTACAGAAATCTTGTCCTCCTTGTCAGTGACTCACTTCCCATTGGTTTCTCATACTGGTCATACTCTTTCCTGTCCCAGGGCCTTTGCACATGAGATTTCCTCCGCCTGTGAGCCCAGTGCCTTTGCACGCCCTGTTGTCTTGGCCCAAGGTGCTCTGTTCCATAAACACCTTCTCAGGTCTTATTCCATGCTCAGTCCTCATTTCCTCAGGGCAGACTCCCAAGATTGCCCCACAATTTTGTTTATTTGTCCAATTCTCAAAATTGACATCTGACTCTCCCATTAAACTCCAAGGTCCAGGGAGTTGAGTACCTCACCTGTTTAGGCCCTAGCTATCACTTGAACATCTTGACCTTACATTTTTGGTGGCAGGGGTTGTTGTAGTTAAGTGCCATTGAGTTGGTTCTGACTCACAGAGACCCCATACAGGGTTTCCAAAAAGCAGCCAAACTTGCCGTTCAAACTGACCTTGCGGTCCAGTGCTCTTCCTACAGCGCCACACCAGGAGAGGGGCATTATTCAACAGATCACAGGGACTTTCCAGCTCAAAAGAGTCTGTGATGCTCAGTGCTTAAGTGGAATCAAAACGTACCTGTCTGATGTTGCGGTCTCCCAGGTACCTCTCCACCCAGGTGCTTTGCCAAGTCTCTGATGGCACATCTCAATGTAATTGTTGCTGCCACTCCAGGGTGTGGTATTTTGCTAGTTATATTTGTTGTTGTTATAGTTGTTGTTGAGTCAGCCCCTGGCTCATAGCGACCCCACGCTCAAGGGAGCAAAACCACTGCCCGGTCCTGCACCTTCCCCCTGATTGGTTGTGGACTGGAGCTCTGTGATCCATAGAGCTGTCACTGACTAATGTTTGGAAGTTGATCACCAGGTCTTTCTTTCTAGTGCATCCTAGTCTGGAAGCTGTGTAGACATCATAACAACTTGCAAGCCTCCACTGACAGACAGGCAGTGGTTATGCATGAGGGACATTGGGCAGGGATCAAACCCAGGTCTCCCATGTGGAAGGCAAGAACCACCACCACCCTCAGCCATGCTTAGGGGGAGAAAGTGGAAGCTTGAAGGCTGAGTGTCGGTGCCAAGATTTGAACCTGTTATCCTTTCTCCCAGGCCCTCATAGGTGACCAGTACGGGCCCTGCCCGGTCCCTTCACTAATTGAGGAGAAGGAGTGGGAGGCGCTGAAGTCTCAACTGATGACCAGGCCTCGAGACCTGGAGCTGGTGGTGCGTCGCTTCCGGAAGGACGAGAACGCTGTGCCTCCTGCCTACGTTCTACAGGCCGCTGGCACTGGGAAGGTTCCAGGGCCCGAGGAGGTGCCCCTGACCTCTGTCTTGCGTGCGGGGGCCCAGGAAGCCTGGAAGCTGGGGCTCATCACGCAGGAGCAGTGGCATCATTACCACCGGTCAGGTGAGGCTGAGGGGACCCATAGTCAGGTGAGGACAGGAACTCACTGGTCAGGTGTGGACAGGTGAAGTCACGTGAGGGCAAGGGGAGCCACTGGTCAAGTGAGGACAAGTGAGGCTCCAGGAATCCACTGGCAAGGTGAGGACAGGTGAGGGAAAAGGAACACACCAGCCAGGTAAGGACAGGACATACCTTTCTTTTGAGGCACCTCTGGGGGGACTTAAACTACCAGTGCCCTGGTTAGTGGTTTAGTGTGTAAGCTCTTTGTACTATCCAGACTGAGTTAAACAGTTAACTAATAGCATTAGCTAGTTGTTATTGCTGGGTACCATTGAGTTGGTTCTGACTCATAGCGACTGTCTTAGGCTGGATTCTCTAGAGAAGGAAACAGCTTACAACTGTAGAGTTCCAAGTCCCCAGAGGAAAAGAGAGCAGGTCTTTCCTGTGTGTCCATTATATTGGGAGCAGGCCACACCCTGAAGGAAATAGCCTTTGAATTAATTGGCCGCTCATAGCCAATCATCGTAGAGTTAACTATGCCTGTATTAGATTTCACCATGGAAATAACCACATCTCAACTGCCAAATTACTGAGAATCCTGACCCAGACAAGTTGTCACAAAACCTTAAGTATCACAGTGACCCTATTATAACAGAAGGAAACATTGGCCAGTGCTACATCATCCTCATAACCTTTGCTATGTTGCAGCCATATTAGCAACCCATTGATTTATTTAAATTGATTGTTAATTAATAGAATCACTTACATAATCCATGTAATCATTTATATTAACTAACATAAAGCAACTATAGTACAGTAACTATAATTTAATGAACATATAATAATATAAAGTCCCTAGAGAAGGAGATCATGCTTGGCAAAGTAGAGGGTTAGCAAAAAAGAGGAAGACTCTCCCCCTCCCCAAGAAGATGGATGGACGCAGTGGCAGAAACAAGGGGCTCAAAACCAGTTGTGAGGTACAGGACTGGGCAGTGTTTCGTTACCTCGTGCATCGATAGAGTCGCTATGAGTCAGAATAGTAGCAATATAAAGTAGTGCATTCACTATATTTAAATAATTTTATTATTAAGATACTGCTCATTACACACATACATATCAACGGTATGTCAGTAATGACATACCGTTTTTAAATTAAAATTTTAAACTAGAAATAATCTTAGGTTTATAGAAAAGTTACAAACATAGTACAGAGAATTCCCCTATACCTTCCTTTCTTCTAGCTTCCCTAATGTTACATAACCAGAGTACATTTGTCAAAACTAAGAAAATAACAGTGGTACATGACCATTAACCGGACTCCAGGCTTTATTAGGATTTCTCCAGTTTTCCCACTAAGATTTTTTTTTTCTGGTCTAGGATCCCATCTAAGAACCCCACAAAGTTGTCCTGTCTCTTTAGTTCCCTCTGATCTGTGACAGTTTCTGACTTTTCTTGACACTTTCGAAGAGTGCTAGTCAGGCCTTTTATAGAATGGACACCAATCTGGGTTTACCTGAGGTTTTCTTCTGATTGATTATACAAGGGTTGTGGGGCTGGAGGAAAAAGACCCAGGAAGTGAGGCATCTTCTTCTTCATATCATACCATGGGGTGCTTGGTGGTCATGTGACATCCCAGGGGACGCTAACTTCGGTCTGTTTGGCAAGGGAATAAGGACATTGATTTTCAGCGTACTGTTGATGTGAATAACAGTGATGTTAATGGCTACTGCTTATTGAGCACATACTATGCGCTAGGTACACAGTTACTATGACGTGAAGTCAAATGTGCCAGTTGATTTCACAGTGGTGTCAGTGACCTGGTGCCATCCAGTCAGCTCTGACTCATAGCGACCCTATCTATGCACAGCAGAATGAAATACTGCCCGATCTGCACTATCTTGACAATTGCTGTTTTGAGTCTGTTATTACAGGCACCTTGTTGGGAGTCTTCCTCTTTTCCACTGATCCTCTGCTTTACCAAAAATGATGACCTTCTCCAGGGAACTAGTCCCTCCTGATAACGTGTCTAAAGTATGTGAGACCGACTTGCCATCCTTGCTTTGTAAGAACCTTCTGGCTGTACTGTTTGAAAGCCAGATTTGTTTGTTCTTCTGGCAGGCCATGGTACTTCCAATATTCTTCTCTAACACCATAATTCAAATACATCGGTTCTTCTCTGGGCTTCCTTATTCATTGTTCAGTTTTTACATGCATATGAGGAATTTAAAAATACCGTGGTTTGAGCCAGATACATCTTAGTTCTCAAAGTGACATCTTTACTTTTTAACGCTTTAAAGAAATCTTTTGCAGCAGATTTGCCTAGTAGTTGAATATTATTCAGCCATAAAATGAAACAGGAGTCCTTGTATGGCCCTGTAGGATAAGCACTAGAATGCCAGGTTGGTTTGAACTGCAAGGCCGTTGGTTCAAACTCACCAGCTGTTCCTTGGAAACCGTATACAGGGTGGCTATGAATTGACTCAATGACACTTAACAACAACAACAATGAGAAATAAAGTCTTCAGCCACTATCATGTGGTTGAACCTTGAAAGGATAAATATTAAATGATCCTGGTTGAACGAAATATCTAAAGCAGGTGAATGAATAGGAATCAAAGTTTGTTATTAGTGATTACCAGGGCCGGGAAAAGGGAACGAAGGGAGAGGCCTTGCTGAAGAGATACTGGTGCTGTTGTTACGTGATGTCAAGTTGATTCTGACTCATAGTAACCCTGTTTTGGATTTCCAAGGAGAAGCTGGTAAGTTTGAACTGCTGGTTCTAGTGGTCTAGTGCTTATTCACACCAGGACTCTGAGATCTAGTTGCTGTTGTTAACAGCCTTCAAATTGGTTCTGGGTCATAGTTAGTTATGTGCCGTGGAGTCGGTTCCAACTCTTAGTGACCCTGTATAGGGTTTCCGAGGTTGTCAATCTTTACAGGAGCAGAAAGACTTTCTCCTGCGGAACAGCTGGTAGTTTCGAACTGCTGACCCTGAGGTTAGCAGCCCGACTCATAACCACTATGCTACCAAAGTGACCCTGTGTAGGGTTTCTGAGGAGCAGTTGGTGGGTTTGAATTGCTGGCCTTGTGGTTTGCAGTCCAGTGCTGATCCAACAGTGCCACACCAGGAGTCCAAGCATCTGGTAGGGTGACAGAAAAATTTAGAATCGGACTGATGATGGTTGCACAATATGATGAGCATAGTCAGTGTCGCTGAATTGTTTGCATGAAAAAAATGATTAAAACGGCAAATGGTTTGTTATACAGCAAAACCTGTGAGAGCTGGAACTTGAAAGACATGCCTTGTTTTTATGAATTTTGCACATTTCCCACCTTTGACAGGGTGCATGCACTCTAATCATTTTTCAAGCAATCTCTATCCATGGAAAATATTTGCGTTTTCCTTCTGTGACAAGTTTCTTCTGCCTTACATAGGTTCTGATTTTCACAGGTTTTATGCATTTTTTCCACAACTTAAAAAAAAAAATTTTTTTTTAATGTAAGGTGGGATCACCTTATACAAAAGTCTGTTATCTTTCAAGGTTAGCTTTATTTATTCACCTGTGCTTCACAGAGAATCCTCACAAGAGCTAGGAAGGTGGAACTTGTGCACCTTGTTGTTGTTGTTAGTTGCCTCTGAGTTGGCTCAGGATGAGGATATATAAAGAGCATATGAAACATCACCCGGTCCTGTGCCAACTTCATGAGCATTGGTATGTTTGTTGGTGAGCAAATGAAGATTCAGAGAGGTTAAGTGACACGCTCAAGGTCTCACAGCCAGAACTGGATTGATTTACTCCCAAATGTGTCCGAGAATGTGTCTTGGGTCTGTTAGCTGCCTTCATGGGGCAACCAGCATTCAAGGGTCAAGTTAGGCGTGCAGCGACTCCAAGGAGAATGGCTGAGTGACTCTTAAATTTGGCTCTGAGCCTTAGCTTGCCCCCCAGGGCCTGGCTTGCTCAAGGGAAGAGAGCTAGAAGCCACCCCTGGGCCCAGAGCTGCTTCAAAAATAACTTCTCAGGATTATTTCAAAATAACAGCCTCCAAAGAGAAGTCGGTGTGATCCAGTGTTGAGTGTTGTTCAGTTGGTTCCTACTCTGTCCACCAGAACAAAACACTGCTCAGTCCTGTGCCATGCTCATAATCAGTGAGCCCACTGTTGCAGCCATTGTGTCAGCCCATCTTGTTGAAGGCCTTCCTCTTTATCATTTACCTTCTGCTTTACCAAGCATGGTCCTCCTCGTGACGTGTCCAAACATGCGAGACAGAGTCTCGCCACCTTCATTTCCAACGCAGATTTATTGGTTATTTTGGCAACACATGATGTTTCAATTATCTTCTCTAACATCATCACTCAAAGGCATCAATTCTTCTTCGGTCTACCTTATCATTATCCAGCTTTCACATGCATGTGAGGCAATTGAAAATACCATGACTTGGGACAGGTATGCCTTATTCTTCAAGGTGACATCTTTGCTCCTTAGAACTTTAAAGAGGTCTTGGGCATCAGATTTGCCTAATGCAATATGTTGTTTGATTTCTTGACTGCTGCTTCCATGGATGTCGATTGTGGATGCAAGTAAAATAAAATCCTTGACAATTTCCACATTTTCTCCATTTATCATGATTTTGTTTATTGGCCCATTTGTGAGGATTTTTGTTTTCTTTATGTTGAGGTATAATCTGTACTGAAGGCTGTATTCTTGGATCTTCATCAGTAAAACTTCTTCAAGTCCTTTTTGCTTTCAAAAAGCAAGGTTTTGTTATCTGCATATCTCAGGTTATTAACAAGCCTTCCTTCAATCCTGATGTCACATTCTTCCTTATATAGTTTACCTTTTCAGATTATTTGCTTAGCATACAGAAGTCAGCTGGATCCTCTTCTGGATCCAGATTGAATTTCTGGCAGTTGCCTGTCTATGTACTGCTGCAACCAATTTTGAATGATCTTCAGCAAAATTTTACTTGTGTATAATAATAATGGTTGCTGTTTTTGTTAAGTG